ATGAGTCCGCGTTGATTTTCAAAAGAGATTTTTTTCATAAATTTTGAGTTTAGTAAAATTATTTTTGGACTCATTTCTTCGAAAATTCTTATCATTTTCCCAGAATCGCCCAAATTTTAGGATTTAAAAAAACATTCTATTTAAAGACGAATTTTTCGAAACTCTTGCTTTGGGCTCTTAAACAGGCTATATTTTTTTGTGGATTTTAAATACCTTTTTCAAAGTTCAATTTCTCCATACTCTTCCTTTGGAAAATTGCGAACTTTGAAAATTACCGAAAGAGATTTTTTTATAAATTTTGACTTCAAAAGTTACTTTTGGAAAGCTCATCATTTTTCCTGAATTGAATATATGAAATTTTTCAAATTTTAAGATTTTCAAAAAAATTCAACTTCAAGCCGAATTTTTGGTAAACTCTTGATCCAGGACAATAAACACGCTATACTTTTCAAATCAGGACGTCCCGATCTACATTTCAAAACTTTTTGTGAATTTTTAGACCACTCTTTCAAGAGCACAAGTTTTCTACACGAAAATTACGGGCTTTTTTCGACCATATTCGAAAATTTCATAAAGACATTTTTTTAAAGATTTTGACTTTAAGAAGATAATTAATTTTGGAGTCATTCCTTGGAAAATTCTTAACATTTTCCCAGAATCGCCCATTTAATTTTTTTTTTCTTAGAAAACTAAAACATTACGAATAAAAAAAATTAATCACAATTGAGATCGGGTGGGTGGGCGGGGCTACATTTTTTCTTTTTTTTTTCTTCATATGTGTACTTTTTCTCATAACATGAAACTTAAAACATGGTTAAAATGGAAAATTTGTATAAGGAAATGATATCCATATTTTCTTGGAAAAATGTACCATTTTAACGATGTCCTAAATTTCTTGTTGTGAAAAGATGGCTACGTATATTACGAAGAAAAGGTAAAATATAAACCCCACCCACCCACCCTACCTCAATTGTGATGTTTTTTTTTCGACCACATTCGAAAATTTCCTAAAGACATTTTTTTAAAGATTTTGACTGTAAGAAGATAATTAATTTCGGAGTCATTTCTTGGAAAATTCCTACCATTTTCCCAGAATCGCCCATTTAATTTTTTTTTCTTAGAAACCTAAAACATGACGAATAAAAAAAAATAATCACAATTGAGACCGGGTGGGTGGGCGGGGCTACATTTTGCCTTTTTATTTTCTTAATATGTGCAGACTTTTTTTCACAACATGAAACTTAAAACATGGTTAAAATGGATAATTTGTATAAGGCAATGTCCATATTTCCTAGGAAAAATGTACCATTTTAACCATGTCCTAAATTTCTTGTTGTGAAAAGATGGATATGTATATTACGAAAAAATGGTAAAATATAAACCCCAAAAAATTGTGATGTTTTTTTTTTGACCACATTCGAAAATTTCCTAAAGACATATTTTTAAAGATTTTGACTTTAAGAAGATAATTAATTTCGGAGTCATTTCTTGGAAAATTCCTACCATTTTCCCAGAATCGCCCATTAAATTTTTTTTCTTAGAAACCTAAAACATGACGAATAAAAAAAAATAATCACAATTGAGATCGGGTGGGTGGGCGGGGCTACATTTTTTTCTTTTTTTTGTCTTAATATGTGTAGACTTTTTTCACAACATGAAACTTAAAACATTGTTAAAATGGAAAATTTGTATAAGGAAATATCCATATTTCCTAGGAAAAATGTACCATTGTAACCAAGTTCTAAATTTCTTGTTTTGAAAACATGGCTATGTATATTACGAATAAAAGGCATAATATAAACCCCACCCACCCACCCTATCTCAATTCTGATAATTTTTTTTTCTTAGAAACCTAAAACATAACGAAAAAAAAATAATCACAATCGAGATCGGGTGGGTGGGCGGGGCTACATTATGCCTTTTTTTTTTCTTAATATGTGCAGATTTTTTTCAACATGAAACTTAAAACATGTTTAAAATAGAAAACTTGGATAAGGAAATATATATATTTCCTACGAAAAATGACCATTTTAACCATGTTCTAAATTTCTTGTTATGAAAAGATGGCTATGTATATTACGAAAAGAAGACAAAATATAAACCCCACCCACCCACAGAATTGAGATCGGGTGGGTGGGCGGGGCTACATTTTGCTTTTTTTTTTCTTAATATGTGTACACTTTTTTCACAACATGAAGCTTAAAACATGTTTAAAAATGGAAATTTGGATAAGGAAATATCCATATTTCCTTACAAAAATGTACCATTTTAGCCATGTACTAAGTTTCTTGTTGTCAAAAGATGGCCATGGATGTTAGGAAAAAAAGACAATATATAAAACTCTTGCTCTAGGCCCATAAACACGTTATATTTTAAAGTATATCAAAGTCTATAACGCAAAATTTTTTCAAAACTTAAATTTTCCACATTCCTTCAGGACCACTTTCGAAAGTAGCGAAAGAGATTTTTTATAGATTTCAACCTCTAGAAGTTACTTTAGAGCACATTTTTTAGAAAATTTGTATAATTTTTCCTGAATCGGATATATGAGATATTTCAAATTTTAAAGATTAAAAAAAAAATTCAATTTCAAACGGAATTTTTCGAAACTATTGCTCTAGGACCATAAGGCTATAATTTCATACCAGTACATCAATGTCAATATCCCAGAATTTTTTGAGGATTTTAAAAAGCCTTTTTCAAATGTTCAATTTTCCACCTCCGCTTTGGAAAATTTCGACCTTTTTTCGACCATCTTTGAAAATTACAGACAGAGATTTTTTACAGATTTTGATCTCAAAAGTTACTTTAGGACTCACTTCTTGGAAACCTGTCTTTTTACCTAAATCGGTAATATGAGATATTTCAAATTTCAAGATTTTGAAAAAAAAACATCAATTTCAAAGCGAATTTTTGGAAACTCTTGATCCAGGACAATAAACAGGCTATATTTTTTGTGAATTTTTAAACGACTCTTTCAAAAGCACAATTTTTCCACACGAAAATTTCGAGCTTTTTTCGACCACATTTGAAAATTTACTTAAAGAGATTTTTTTTATAGATTTTGACTTTTAGAAGTTAATTTCAGAGTTAAATTCAATCAGTACGTGAATATCTATATCCCAGAATTTTATTAAATTAATATTTAATTATAATAAATACTTTTTCAAAAGTTGAATTTTTCGACATTCTCTTTTCGACCTTTTTTTCAACCACCTTCGAAAGTATCGAGAGTGATTTTGTAAGGGATGAAAAATTTTAAACAAAAAAAGAACACATTTTTTTTTTTTTCGATGTGTTGTGTTTGTGAGGGCGTTACATTATTTCTTTACCAGTTATCCACATTATCAAACGTCAGATTTTAATATAACATAAATTATAAACTCACTTTTAAGTCGTCAGTGTTGATAGCTGATTAATTACATTTACAGCCTGGTCAGGAGGGCTGGTGTCGAGGTGAATCGGTCATTACAACAATTATGCACCCTGTAAAATGCAATTGGGGATGTGAGCCATCGATTCCTAAAGTCGATGTGGCGAATTTGCTAATTGGGTGATACTCTTTAACAGCGAGTCCGTGTCATTTTGACTTATCAACAATCAACAAGTTTGGTACTACTTTATCGTGAATATGACTGCTTTAATTAACAATTATTTCATCAATCAATGAGCTCTGTCCTAATGGTTGGAATCACACATGGTCCATACTGCCCGGTACAGAGTGTACAATGAGCACTAAGGGAAAACCGCACGAAGTGCTCACTCTCATACCGTCGTAGGGTATAGTACGGAGTCTACAAGGGGCGAAGGGGAAGGCCGCGCGACGCACCCAGCTCCTGCTACTATCCCAGGTCTAGTACCAAAGGGTGCAGTGACACCAAGGGAATAACCGCACGAGGTGTCCACTTTGATACTAGTCCTTTGACCACAGACATCAGGATTGATGTCCGCACCGTACCCGCAACAACAGGCACATACCCGCAACAACAGGTATTTCTTCGCCCGCAACAACAGGCATAAACCCGCAACAACAGGTCTCTTCGCCCGCAACAACAGGCATAAAGGTATCACAGGAAGGCGGACAGCCTAATCAAATTAGCTCGACATGTCAAGGCTCATTTCATCACTTTTACTATTTCAATATCTCTCAGGATTATGTTAACATTATTTGACAACTGACTCGGTACCATTTATCAATAATCATGTCAAATACAACAATAACAACAAGGAACGGACTCACCAAATTACAGTAGATAATCCAATTAGCTTTTACAACAATTAACAACGCAGATTACACCTTAGTGAAATCTCACTCACATCACCCCTAAGATCGATAACTCAGTGATACACTCACCTCAACACTTTTTGAACAACCGTAACACGGAACTGTTAAATTTTCGTCTTAATCGGTACGCGTCCGTTTTAAAACTGAAATCTTTATCCAGGCCTTTTTAGTTACACCCTCTCAACAGAAACACAGTCAACCAATCAACCCCAATCTGGTCTATTTTCTTTGGGTCACACATGTGGTTTCTGTTTTTGCCTGCGACTGCGATAATCTCAGATTTGTTTCGCTCAAGTGTAGGTCGCTGGACCACCCGCACCCCTGCATCGCAGGCCATTAGTAGGCGTGTGAAAGGACATAGGCCATTCCCCAGTTTCTGGGAAATATATATTTTTACGAGCCCCAAATTAGCATGAAACTCTTAACTGCATGCTTCTACACCCCAAATATAAAAAAAATATGAAGAGAAGCACATGTTAAGTACAAACCTATCTTACAATTTTTTATAGATTTCAACCCCAAGCAGTTACTTTAGGGCTCATTTCTTAGAAAACTCGTATCATTTTTCTTGAGTCGGACGGACAATTCAAATTTTAAAATTTTCAGAAGAATTCAATTTCAAGCCGAATTTTTCGAAACTGTTGCTCTAGGACCATAAAGAGCCCAATTTTCTACATCTAAAAATTTATTTTTTACATAAATACACAACTAATCATTTACAAGTTCCTGGACGCATCCAAAACGTTCCTGGACGCATCCAAAACGTCAAACGCACACTCCCTTCGGCCAAAACTCCCCTCTCAATAAGCTACCCTTGATCCTAAAATCAACATCAACTTTATAAGCGTCGTACGCACTCTCAAGGTACAAATTGTTTAGGATTACTTCATCGCTTGAAAATTTGTCGGCTATGAAGGACCGGATGGCCTCGAAATCCACATTGGGTACCATTTTCCCCATATAGTACCAAGCCCTTTTGACGTACCACGCACCAAAACCGTTGTCCACCTGGACTGTCCCATTCACCGTACCATTTCGTCGTGGTTTCCGCTCAACATCGTCTTCAACATTTTCGTTCGACGATTTCCGCTTACGACGATTTGGACGCGAACTTTGTTCCAAACAACGATCTTCGTCTGTGGTTTCCACATTAATTGAAAGTTTTTTGTTGTCAAAATTTCTTTTGACAAATTTTGGACCATGATTGTCAGATAAGAACTTCACGAGTTCCACGTTGCTTTCTTTGAGAGTTTGAACTTCACCTCGCAGCAGCTCGATTTGGTGTAACAACGGCTGGGTTACTTTTCCCACAAGGTCTTCCATTTCGTTTTTTGAAAGTTCAAGCTTTTGGGGTGGATCGGGTTCATTTTTTGGGTTAGTGGTGGTCTCGCAACAGATTACCGTTGTGTCGTTCAGATATTGGATGTTTTTCAACAGTTTGAGACAACTAGGGTGGTTTAGGGAGTTACATTTTATGCATCTGAGCGCCGTCGAGGGCATTGATTTACATTTTCTGCAAGGGATTTTGGAAAGATTGCCAGACAAGTCACTGTTCATGGTCGTGATTCCAACTTTAACACTTTTTGACTTAAAAAAAAAAAGTGACAATTTCAAAATCAAATGTCACATTTATTACTTGATTAGAAATAGGGACGACGGACACACCGACGGACATTTGCGTCCGTTAAAATATAAGTCGCGCTATAAAGTTATGACGTTTCTATATTGCGTGGGCGATAGTTTATGCACCTTATTAAATAAATGAGATAATTTAAAACACCTACAAGGCGTTAAATTATAAAATGGGATGTGAGTAGGTCCCGTTCTGGTCAAGGTTTTTTCAATTCCGCGCCATCAAGTGTCGTTTTTGCATGGCGAAAGCGATCGCATCGCATGTGAATAATATTCCAATTACCGTGCAATAAAATATGTAGTCATGATATAATTTGAAAAGTTTCTCGGAAATTGATATTAAATATATTATTACGACTTTGGAAGTTATTGATGAGCGGAATGTTATATTCATGTGATTTTATTATAAAGGTAGTCTGAATAAATATTTAATAGAGCGAGCTCATGGGCACCGTTAAGTTATTACACTAAAATAAAAGCTAATAAATAATGAAAACGGAATGGAACAAGTAGTAATACGTTAAAATACAGGCTGATAATTTATTTAGCGTACATCTACTCTTCCATACCGACGTACGTAAATAAATAACAAACAGTGCATATTTACATTTAATTGAATATATATCGCTTTAATTAAATTATTACGGGAGCTAGTACGGCGCGGCGAATACAATATAATAATTATATAAATACACACATCATGTCGCCATAACTAATTAACGTCAATATTATATGATTAATGTGCAGTGACCGGGTTTACTCGGCCCGGAGAGGTTAAACGAGACGGTTTCCTCTTGTCTCGCTTTAATTACAATACCCGGATAGCAGCAGTCAATGCGAAATCGGAGATATATATACGTTGCAGCATGGCTCGTCTTCCGAAATAATGTGATTATTACACATCGTCCATACATCCAACAGGAATACACCGAATGTCGATAACAGGACAATGTCAACATTTCCGGTGTCAGATCTATGCTTCCGGGTCCGGCCGACAGACTCCGGGAAATCCGCAAGTCATTGTTGCACGGCCACCAATCAGGATAATTGCGCGTTTTTCCGAGGGATCTAATTGCGGGGAACTTCTTGACGAGACGAACTCGATATTTCCAAAAGGATGGAGAATTTTCAAGGAAATCGTGCATATCACAGGTTATTTTTTCTCCCATTTTGATTCTGGGGCATCCCTTCATTTAATTACAACCCCTACTGCAGAGAAATTTTGAAAAAAAGTTGGATAACTCAAGTTCAAACTGGGATCGAAGGATTCAAGAATTGATCTGAAATTTATATAGGCAGGATTACCCAGACGTCAACTTTGTTTACGTAAAATTTTGGTTTTCTAAGACGGTCAAATTAGTCAGGAAAAAAGTGATGGAGGTCTTAAAGGCAGGTCAAATGTTTGACAAAAAATGATGGGGGTCCCAAAGCAGGTCAAAATGGTCAATAGAAAAAAATGGGGGTCCTAAGAAGGATGAAATTGGTCGTCAAAAAATGATTGGGTCCCAAAACAGGTCAAAATGATCACCAGAAAATAATAGAGGTCCTAAGACGAGTTAAATTCGTCTTCAAAAGATGACAGGGTTCCGAAGACAGTCAAATTGGTCAGGAAACAATCATGGGGGTCCTAAGGTAGGTCAAATTGGTCGTGAAAGTCCGGAGGGTTCTACGCCAAGTCAAATTGGTCGATAAAAAATGATGGGGGACCTAAGACAGCTCAAATTGATCGTCTAAAAATGATGGGGATCCTAAGACCTTCTTGGCCGGGAAAAAGCGAACGGGGTCCAAAGACAAGTCAAATGTTTGACAAAGACAAGTCAAATGTTTGACAAAAAAATAAGAGGTCCTAAGACAAGTCAATTTCGTCGACAAAAAAAAATGATGTGGTTCTAAAACAGGTCAAAATAGCAGAAAATAATGAGTGTCCTAAGACAGGTGAAACTAGTCGTCAAAAAATGGGGAGGGGTGGTCCTAAGACGGTCAAATTGGTCAGGAAAAAGTCATGCGGGTCTTAAGGCAGGTCAAATTGGTCGTGAAAAAGTCAGGAGAGTTCCAAGACAAGTCAAATTGGTCGATAAAAAATGATGGGCGACCTAAAACACAACTCAAATTCATGGACTAAAAATGATGGGAATCCTAGGACCGTCTTGGCCTGGAAAAAGTGATAGGGGTCCAAAGACAGGTCAAATGTTTGACAAAAAATAAGAGGTCCTAAGACAAATCAAATTCGTAAACAAAAAAATGATGGAGGTCCCAAAACAGGTCAAAATGGTCAACAGAAAATAATGGGAGTCCTAAGACGGGTGAAATTCGTCGACAAAAAAATGATGAGATTCCTAAAACAGGTCAAAATGGTGAACAGAAAATAGAAGGAGTCTTAAGATAGGTTAAATTGGTCAAAAAATGATGGGGGTCAAATTAGTCGGAAAAAAGTGATGGGGGTCCTAAGGTTTGCCAAATGTTGGACAAAAAATAATGAGGTCTTAATACAAGTCAAATTCGTGGACAAAAAAATGATGGAGGTCCTAAAAAAGGTCAAAATGGTCAACAGAAAATAATGGGGGTTCTAAGATGGGTTAACTTGGTCGTCAAAAGATGATAGGGGTCCTAGGAGGGTCAAATTGGTTAGGATAAAGTCATGTTGATCCGAATGCAGGTCAAATGGTTGACAAAAAATTATGAGATTCCTAAAACAGGTCAAAATGGTCAACAGAAAATATCGGGGGTCTTAAGATGGGTTAAATTGATCGTCAAAAAATGACGGGGGTCAAATTAGTCAGAAAAAAGTGATGGGGGTCCTAAAGTTGGTCAAATGTTCGACAAAAAATGATGGGGTCTTAAAACAAGTCAAATCCGTCGACAAAAAAATGATGGAGGTCCCAAAACAGGTCAAAATGGTCAACAGAAAATAATGGGGGTTCTAAGACGGGTTAATTTGGTCGTCAAAAGATGATAGGGGTCCTAGGAGGGTCAAATTGGTTAGGATAAAGTCATGTTGATCCGAATGCAGGTCAAATGGTTGACAAAAAATTATGAGATTCCTAAAATAGGTCAAAATGGTCAACAGAAAATATCGGGGGTCTTAAGATGGGTTAAATTGATCGTCAAAAAATGACGGGGGTCAAATTAGTCAGAAAAAAGTGATGGGGGTCCTAAAGTTGGTCAAATGTTCGACAAAAACTGATGGGGTCTTAAAAAATCCGTCGACAAAAAAATGATGGAGGTCCCAAAACAGGTCAAAAAGGTCAACAGAAAATAATGGGGGTTCTAAGACCGGTTAAATTAGTCGTCAAAAGATGATAGGGGTCCTAAGACGATCAAATTGGACAAGAAGAAGTCATAGATGTCCTAGGACAGTTCAAATGTTCGACAAAAAATGATGGTGTCCTAAAACAAATTAAATTCGGGGACAAAAAGATGATGGGGTTTCTAAAACAAGTCAAAATTGTCAACAGAAAATAGTGGAGTTCCTAAGGCGGGTTAAATTAGTCGTCAAAAAACGATGCGGGTTGTAAGATGGTCAAATTGATTGGGAAAAAGTCATGGGGTTCCTAAGGCAGGTCAAACGTTTGACAAAAATGACGGCGTCCTAAAACAAGTCAAATTCATCGACAAAAAAAAATGATGGGCCTCCTAAGACAAGCCAAATTGATCCGTGAAAAAGTAATCGGATTCTAAGACAGGTCAAAATAGTCGACAAAAAATGATGGATATCCTAAGACGGTCTTGGTCGGGATAAAGTGATGGGGGTCCTAAGACGGTCAAATTGGTCACGAAAAAGTCATGGGGTTCCTAAGGCAGGTCAAACGTTTGACAAAAAAGATGGGGTCGTAAAATAAGTCAAATTTATCGACATAAAAATGATGGGGTCCTTATACGGTCAAACTTATCGTGAAAAAGTCAGGGGATTTTAAGACAGGTCAAATTGGTCGAGAAAAAATTATGAGGATCCTAGGACGGTCAAACTGGTCAGCTAAAAGTTGTGAGGGTTCTAAAGCAGGTCAAATGTTTGACAAAAAAATATGGGGTCCTAAAGTAAGTCAAATTCGTTGACAAAAAAAATGATGGGTCCCTAAAACAGGTCAAAATGATCAACAGAAATGAATGTCGTAAGTTGGGTTAAATTGGTCGTCAAAAAATGATGGGGGCCCTAAGATGATCAAATTAGTTGGAAAAAAGTGATGGGGTTCCTAAGTCAGGTTAAATATTAGACAAAAAATGATGGGGTCCTAAAACAAGTCAAATTGGTCGTGAAAAAATCAGGGTGGTTCTGAGACAGGTCAAATTGGTCGACAAAAAATGATGGGTGTCCTAAGACAACCCAATTGGGCGATAAAAAAATTATGAAGGTTCTAAGAGAGGTCAGCCGAGGCTTGCCGACGATCTTGAACGAAGCGATCATTGACAGAAAATGATGTCGTTTCTAAGACAGGTCAAATCGGTCAACAAAAAATGATGGGTCCTGAGACTGATGGTCGAGAAAAAGTCAGGGAATTCTAAGAGGGGTCAAATTGGTTGACGGAAAATGATGGGGTTCTAAAACAAGTCAAATTCGCCGACAAAAAAAATGATAGGGGTTCTATAATAGGTCCAATGGTCAATAGAAAATAATGGGGATCTTCAGGTGGGTTAAATTGGTCGTCAAAAATGATGGGGGTTCTAAGACAGTCAAATTAGTTAGGAAAAGTATGGGTGTCCTAAAACAGGTCAAATTGATCGACTAAAAATGTCTAAAGACAGGTCAAATGTTTGACAAAAAATATGTGGTCCCAAAACAAAGAACAGGTCAAAATAATGACAGGGGTTTTAAAACAGGTCAAAATGGTCAACAGAAAATAATGGGGATCCTAAGACCGGTTAAATTCGTCCTCAAAAGATGATAGGGTAACTAAATCGGTCAAATTAGTCAGGAAAAAGTCATGAGGATCCCAAAGCAAATCAAATATTTGACAAAAAATTATAGGGTGCTAAAACAAATTCGTTGACAAAAAAATGATGGGGGTCCTAAATCATATCAAAATGGTCAACAGAAAATAATGGGGGTCCTAAGACGGGCTAAATTAGTCATCAAAAAGTATTGGGGTCCTAAGAACGGTCAAATTAGATGGAACAAAATTATGGGGGTCTTAAAACAAGTCAAATTATCGTGAAAAAGTCAGGGGATTGTACGACAAGTCAAATTCTTTTACAAAAAAAAATAAATATAATAATAAAAAAAAATAATGGGTGTTCTAAGACAGATCAAATTCGTCGACAAAAAAAGATTGGGGGTCCTAAGAAGCTCTAATTAGTCGACAAAAAATGATGTCGGTTCTAAGACAGCTCTAATTGGTCAACAAAAAATCATGCCGGTCTTAAAACATGTCAAATTCGTCGATACAAAAATGATGGAGGTCCTAAGATAGGCCAAAAAAGAAAATGATTTCGGTTCTGGCTCAGATCAAATGAGGTCAAAATGAGGTAGAAGCGGCATCATGTAAATACTTACTATCAAGGAAGAAATGTTGAACTAATAAGTTTAATAATATTTCTTGATGATTAAGCTGGCAACAATGGTTAAGTTTCTGACACAATTCATAATCTTAAACCGGTGACTCCATCAGAAGAAGCAATTCAAAGGCAAATCGCTACAAGAATTTTTAGAATTAACTTCGATATTTGAAGAAGAAAAAAAGATCATTAAGGATCTGTAACCGAAAAAACACAAACACCTAAAATCATCCGCATGAAAATGAAAAATCTTTATAAAAAATTGGTCTAAAGAGTTTAGACAGTACTTCCCTCGCTGTCGGAAACGTGACGACTGCATGCCTATTATGTTTTTTTTCGCAGTGGATTTCAAAGAATTCGGTTTTGTAGTTCCTGATTAAATCAATAAAATATATTTACGCATTCATTAATTTTTTTGAGTCACTCTGTATATGCAAATCCAAAAAATATAAATGGAGTGATAAATGACAAGTACAGACTCACCATATTTTGTACATTTTAGATATGATTTATTCGGCAAACTTTCGAGCTGACGTCATCAAGTTTTTGGAGGGGATAAGCAAATATATTTTGACTAGACATTTATTATGCTCTTTATGACCTTAAAACATCTGCAAGATTTCAGAGCATTCGGTTTTGTAGTTCCTGATTAAATCAATAAAATATATTTACGCATTCATTAATTTTTTTGAGTCACCCTGTATATGCAAATCCAAAAAATATGAATGGAGTGATAAATTACAAGTACAGACTCATCATATTTTTACAGTTTAGATAGGATTTATTCGGCAAACTTTCGAGCTGACGTCATCAATTTTTTGAAGGGGATAAGCAAATATATTTTGACTAAACATTTATTATGCTCTTTAGAACCTTAAAACATCTGCAAGATTTCAAAGCATTCGGTTTTGTAGTTTCTGAGTAAATCAGTAAAATAAATTTACGCATTCATTAATTTTTTTGAGTCACCCTGTATATGCAAATCCAAAAAATATGAATGGAGTGATAGATCACAAGTACAGACTCATCATATTTTGTACATTTTAGATATGATTTATTCCACAAACTTTTGAGCTGACGTCATCAAGTTTTTGGAGGGGATAAGCAAATATTTTTTGACTAAAGATTTATGATGCTCTTTATAGCCTTAAAACATCTGCAACATTTCAAAGCATTCTGGTTAGCAGATTAAAAATTAAATTTCAAAATGTTGTTTTATAATTTTGATTTTTTTTCCAAAAATCTGGACGTTTCGGGTGAAAAGTCGATTCGGAGTTGTAAACTACATGTGTAGGACTATGTTATTTTATACAATTGAAAACCCATTTACTACGTACAATTTTGAAGTGACGTCATCGCATTAGTGGTGGGGATGATTAGACAAATTTTGGTTAGCGTTTTACCATCTACATGATATTCTTAATATAAGTACAAAATTTCACAACAATCGGTCGAGTACTTTCGGAGATTATCTGTCTAATAAAAATCCGGGACAACAGACGGACAGACGGACGGACAGACGGACGGACAGACGGACAGACGGACGGACAGACGGACAGACGGACAGACAGACGGAAATGGGAGACCTATTTCTTCGTCTTCTAGGGGTCATGAAAGATCGAGAAAACGTAAAAGTAGAGAGTCGGCCGACGGACTCGATTACAATACTTCCTTTGCTTACGCTCGGGAAGTAAAAAAGTCCAAAATTTTGCCTTTTAATCCCAATGCAATAGTGCACTCTAATCGCACGTGATGCACTACGGATAGCTTACATATTAAACGCCATCAGTTTATAATATGTAATTTTTGAAAAATTTTCAGCATCATTACAAACGAACCAAGTAAGAAAAGTCTGAAATATTTAAAAACAAATAGTTAAAATACTGTTACATTGAACCAAGTTAGACCTTTTAAATGTACGAATACAGAATTACACACTAGTAAAAAAAAATACTGTTACCTGTCATTGCTGACCTTGCATGTTGTCGATTGTCAGCTAAATTTCAATTTCAAATTAAAAAAAAAACAAGCAAACACCTAAGATCGCCCCTGCCACTACTTCCATCAAGGTAATTGAACTTATTGTACTTTATTGCATGTGTGTGTTATGAATGCGTACAAAGTAACAATTAAATGCCCACTGCCTTCTAAGAATGTTAATATTAGTACAATGCCAGTATAAAACTCGCATAAGCGTTACGTTCAAGGTTTGCACCAGAAAAGAAATTTCTTCGAGCAAACCAACCATCATTCGAAGATTGACTCTTTCTAGTTTAACATAGACCATTAAACTTTCACATCTCGGTCTCCCATCTCCTCATTCGAACCACCACACATTTATACCGTCAATAATTACAATCCGCATTTTTCTCGTGCACTAATTGCAGCGCTCTGTCAGCTCACGTCTTAAAACTCGCCCGCGGCCAAGAAACAGATTATCCGCGATCATTTAATAACAATTATTATTAAAATGCAAAGGCCGACAAGCAACATTCGCGATGCGCAAATGGCGAATTGTTATTAAAAGCTTTCCGGAAGTTCGTGACGTCGTTGCATGTGGAAAAGCTCGTGTGAATGTAACACTTCGGGCGAATGCGACCTGTGGGATCAGCTTAAGCTGCGACAAGGGGTGCGTTGTAAGCGCCCGGATCACGGGACTACAGGTGTTCCGGTAAAAACTCCAGGTGCTGAAAAGGTAGGCGGACCTGCCGCGAAATTAAGATTGATTGCGTTGAGGGAATGCCGAAGAAATATGGGGCTTTAGCGGCGGCTTTCTTACGGGGAGACTCGCTTCCAATTAGCCGGAGCGGGTTTTGGCCGGGTTGTAGCACGGATGGGAATTAATAGCGGCTTGCTTAACTAGGCGACAAAGTTGCAGCATATTTACACCGGTTTCGAATATCGATAACATGTGACAAAAAGTCGTTTGCAACTTGCGGTAAAAGAGGACTTTACACACCAGCTACACAAACACTTACAACATTCGAATTCTAAAAATAAACAAGAGCGGTGCATGCATGGCGAGCTTTGGCGACATTTGTGAAGACTTGGTTTGGTTTTTTGGTAAAAGTAGAATAGTATCGCGCTAAAACAAACAAACAAAAAACAAAAACAACGGATTTATAATAGAGATGCGAAATACCTTGTAGATGCTTTCAATTTTCTGCTTGTCAGTATGGTTTCCGTCCAAAACGATCTACGACAAAGGCAAATGTCAGTTGTGTCAGGTGTCCACTTTGGTCTACTCTAAATACACTGATTAACGAGCTGCTTAAAAAATTCACTGTTAATAATAATAGTGATAAAAAAGTACAACCTTTCTCCATTTATATAATGATTTGGAGACTGCTCTCATGCTATAATAGTGAATGCGAAACAAATTAGAGTGTATTTATTTTTGAAAAGTATTCAAATAAATTAAACAACTCAGAAATAATTGGCCTGAAATGTTTAGAGTGTTTTTACAGCAAAATTCTTTATCTGCCAAGTTTAATTATTCATTTGAATTAAATTATTTATTTTTGTAGACAATGTACGAGGGACATTTAGTATAGATTGAGAGCATTATCGTTATGACCCTGTATAACAAATTGTCGAGATCTTTAGACCACACTAAGGTTGACAAGGTTAAAAGAAACAGCAATAAAACACAAGATTTTGTGACATCAAGAGGGAAAATCTGTATCGATTTTATCGTTTTCCTGACAGTTCAGAAGCGCTGATGAAAGCAAGGCGCTAATTTTGCACTTATTTAAAAAACAAGCAATTTAACAAAATATCGTTGATTTGTTTTTATATCAGTAATATTATTTTGTCTTTAATTCAGAACCAAAAATGAAATTAAAATATAGCACTTTTGGACAGATGTTGGTGATGATTTTAGACAACTAAACTGTAAATTAAACATACAAAATTGACAATTAGTTTGCTTTGTCAAAGCTCCAGGGTTCAAGGTTCAAGCGAAATAAAACATAAAAAACCAGAAAAAAAGCGGAGATAAGAAAATTCATGAAAACACAGAACACTGCAAAAACAGGAGATCAAAGTGCAGTTATTAATTGCAAGAAAATAAATATCTCAAAAACTTTACCCATGGAAACCACCAAAAAAGAAAAAAAAGACCTCAAAGAAAAGCACTGAATGACTTCTTTAAAATGACTAAATATAAAAGAAGAAATTTGGCTTTAACATACAAAAGAAGTTTTGTAATAGACTCTTTTGAAGTTTAAAATTAAAATGAAGAAAAATAACAATACAGAAAATCTGGTCTGACTTGACTTGAGTTAACATAATCTGACCTGACTTGACCTAATCTGATCCGATCTGACTTGATTTAAGGAACAGATTGAACCAACAGATTTACACAATATTTAGAAAACTTTTGGACGAAATTTCATCTACAAAATATCAACGAGAGTCCTTAGAAACTGTTAAATTAAGTGCCAAACAGGACAATGGAGTCGAAAATTGGAAGAAAAAGTTCTAGAAAAGCAAAATAGTGGTTTACCAAACGTGGATACAGAACGAAAAGTTTGAATAAAACGATCCAATGAAAAATTCATAACTGAAAACTCAAAAAACTGCAAATTGAAGCACCGAGAAATCACAAAGCTGAAAATTATAAAAACAGAAAAATCGAAAAACTACAAATCAAGGAGCTGAAAAATCTAAAATTGGAAAACTGAAAAAACGACAAAGTGAAGAAATGAAACTCTGAAAAATCGAACAATTGAAAAATGGAAAAACTGAAGAAAAGAAAAAATGGAAAGTCCAACAATTAAAAATTGAGAAGTTAAAAATTCTAAAAATTGGAAAATACAAAAACTGAAGAAACGAAACTTTGAAAAATCACAAAATTTTGGAAACTCGATAAATTGTAAAGTCGAAGAATTGAAAAATCGACGAATTAAATTCGAGAAATTCAAATATTGAAGGTGTGAAACGTCGAGAAACTATAAAAACGAAAAATTGAAAAGAATGAATAATTCGAAAAATTCAAAAGTTTGAATCAAGCGATCAAATGAAAAATTCACAACTGAAAATTATAAAAACTGAAAAGCCGAAAAATTAAAAACCAAGGAGATGAAAAATCTAAAATTGGAAAACTGAAAAAACGAAAAAGTGAAGAAATGAAACACTGAAAAATCGAACAATTGAAAAATGGAAAAACTGAAGAAAAGAAAAAATGCAAAGTCCAAAAATTAAAAATCGAAGGAGCGAATACTCGAAAAATTGTAAAACGAATAATTGAAAAGATACAATAATTCTAAAAATTCAAAAGTTGAAATGAATAAAATGAAAAATTGCAAATCGAAAAATCGAGGAATTGAAAAATTGAAGAAACAGAAGAATGAGAAAAGAAGAAACTTGGCTTAAACATAAAAAAAGAAAAGTGTTATAGTAAATGAAGCAGATAGAGGAATGCTATACATGTCAAAAGCAACGAAGAGTACGAATCCGAAAAGGACCTACTGAGTGTTTCTGGATCGAGGAAATACATCCAAAAAAAAACAATATAGAGAACCTTGTCTGATATAACCTGAGTAAAACACATGAGTTCCAAAAGAAATTCAAACACTTTGAAAATGTTCATGGTCGTAGAAAAACTTTTATCGCAGGCATAGTAAAAAGAAAGTTGTAGGGTACCAATTTTGGCACATACTTTATCACACACATGGCCAGTTTTGCATAGATTTTTGATATAGCCACATCAGCATCATTTTTTTAGGACTTTATAAACGGTAAATCGAAGTAAATATAAAAATGGTGAATTAATTCAGCAGAAGACTGAAGATGTTTTGCGACCAAGGTCTGCCAATCATTGTAAAGAGAATGATCTCAATGTGACGTTTATCAACCAGTCGAAAACTTCGAAGATTTTCTATTTCTAAATTTTCTTTTTCGTACATTTTTCATTCCTCACATTAATCAATTCTTACTTTTCCAATTTCTCACGTTTCCGATTTCTCAAAAGTTCCCACGTGACCCACATATTTCTCGCTTCTGATTTCTCATTTCATCTCATGTCTTTATTTTCAATTTTCATTTCATATTGCTCACATTTCTAAATTTTCACGTTTCCCATTTCTCACGTTTATCATTTCTCAATTCCCAAGTTTCTGATTTTCCACGTTTCTCATTTGTCACGTTGACCGTTTCTCACATTTTCCACTTTTCTCATTTCTTATTTATCACATTTCTCGTTTCATATTTCGCGTTTCTCACATTTCTCTTCATTTTGTATTTTTTTTGCCTCATTTCTCACATTTGTCATTTCTCGGGATTCAATTTTTCACATTTTTCATTTCAAATTTTGTATTTCTCGTATTTCTCAATTCTTGCTTTTCCAATTTCTCACGTTTCCCATTTCTCAAAATTCTCACGTGACCCACACATTTCTCGATGCCGATTTCTCATTTCGTCTCATGTTGTCTGTCTTCTCATTTTTTATTTCATATTGCATACATTTCTAAATTTTCACGTTTCCCATTTCTCACGTTTAACAGTTCTTACATTTTTTGATTTCTCACGTTTCTCATTTCTCACCTTGACCATTTCTCACAATTTCCACCTTTCCCATTTATTACATTAACCTTTTCTCTTTTCTCACGCGTCAATTTTTCTCATTTCTTATTTCTCACATTTCTCGTCCCACTTCTCAGATTTCTTTCCATTTTGTAATTTTTTCTCCTTTCTCATATATATTATTTCTCAAGTTTCAAATTTTCACATTTCTCATTTAAAATTTTTCATTTCTCGCATTTCTCAATTCTTATTTTTCCAATTTTTCACGTTTCCCATTTCTCACAATTCTCACGTCCCCAATTCTCACGTGACCCACACATTTCTCGTTTCTGATTTCTAATTTCATCACATTTTGTCTATCTTGTCATTATCTCATTTCTCATTTCATATTGCCCACTTTCTAATTTCTCACGTTCCCTATTTCTCCCGTTTATCAGTTCTCACATTTTTTGATTTCTCACATTTATCATTTCTCATTTCCCAAGCTTCTGATTTTCCACGTTTCTCATTTGTCACGTTGACCGTTTCTTACATTTTCCAGTTTTCCCATTTCTCTTTGCTCATTCCTCAATTTTTCTCATTTCTCACTTCTTCACATTTCTTATTTATCACATTTCTCGTTTCACATTTCGCGTTTCTCACATTTCTCTTCATTTTGTATTTTTTTTGCCTCATTTCTCACATTTGTCATTTTTCGGTTTTCAATTTTTCACATTTTTCATTTCAAGTTTTTCATTTCTCGTATTTCTCAATTCTTGCTTTTCCAATTTCTCACGTTTCCCATTTCTCAAACTTCTTACGTGACCCACACATTTCTTGTTGTCGATTTCTCATTTCGTCTCATGTTGTCTGTCTTCTCATTTTTTATTTCATATTGCATACATTTCTAAATTTTCACGTTTCCCATTTCTCGCGTTTAACAGTTCTCACATTTTTTGATTTCTCACGTTTCTCATTTCTCACCTTGACCATTTCTCACAATTTCCACCTTTCCCATTTATTACATTAACCATTTCTCTTTTCTCACGCGTCAATTTTTCTCATTTCTTATTTCTCACATTTCTCGTCCCACTTCTCAGATTTCTTTTCGTTTTGTAATTTTTTCTCATTTTTCATATGTCATTTCTCAAGTTTCAAATTTTCACATTTTTCATGTAAAATTTTTCATTTCTCGCATTTCTCAATTCTTATTTTTCCTATTTTTCACATTTCCCATTTCTCACAGTTCTCACGTCACCCATACATTTCTCGTTTCTGATTTCTAATTTCATCTGATTTTTTCTATCTTGTCATTATCTCATTTCTTCTCATTTCTCATTTCATATTGCCCACTTTCAATTTCTCACGTTTATCAGTTCTCACATTTTTTGATTTCTCGCATTTATCACTTCTCATTTCCCACCAAGTCTCTGATTTTCCACGTTTCTCAGTTTTCACCTTGAGCATTTCTCACAATTTCCACTTTTCCCATTTATTACATTAACCATTTTTCTTTTCTCATTCCTCAATATTTCTCATTTCTTATTTCTCACAATTTTCGTTTCACATTTTCCAGTTCTCATATTTCTTTTCCTTTTGTAATTTTTTCTCATTTTTCACAATTGTCATTTCTCAGATTTCAATTTTTCACATTTTTCATTTAAAATTTTCATTTCTAGCATTTCTCAATTC